CGCGGAACGAGCTGCTCGGGCGAAACGGAACGCAACGCTGAGAGGACGGCTAGAAAGCACGAGATCGCCAACCTAATCGACCAAGGGGTCAGGATAACGAGGTGAGCGCCATGTTTCGCGACAAACAGCAGACGCGCGCTCAGTTCGGCTAGGCACTGGAAACAATCATTGAACACCCCAGGGCCATTAACTGCGCGTCTGGCGACCAAGGCGATAACCCGGTAGGAGCTGAAGCCATGGCTCAGGACGCGCGATGCGCTAACGCAGCGCCGCCTAACCCGCTAGGGACTTCGAGTCCGCCCGCCGCTGCTACTCCTCCTGAGCTGGCTGCGCCGAAGGGAGCCAAGAGTCTCGCTTAGCCAAATCGGCCGCGGCCAATCTCGCGCAACAGAGGACAAGGAGCCAAGCTCACCGACGGAAGTGCCGACGAAACCGTGAGAGCTCGAAGACGACGCAACGAAAGGTGCAGGCAAAGGCGACGGAATAATCAAGAAGGGTGCGTCCATGGACGAACCCGAGTCAGGCCCGCGACCCGAAGGCGCGCCCTACCGGGCCTCCTTCGCCACGCCGATCACCGAGCCCGATGGGCCGAGAGGATGCATGCGCGCGCAAGAGAGTGTTCGCTCAGACTCCTCGGATCGGGCCCAGGGGCACCCCGTTGAGGCGCCTGTCTCCAATTTGCCGCCCCGCCACCCTAACCGCGATCCTAAGTGCCGAAGGCCGCCGCGCGGGCTCCTGAAATTGGCAGAGGCAGTCAGGGGGCGGCGGGGCGGCCGCAACAGGCGCTGGGCCAGCCCTCAGACGCACAAGCTTGAAGACCCATTGGGCAGCATCACCGCCCAGGAAGTTTGCGCCAGCATCCGGGGCTCATCAAGACACTCCACGGCAACGTTTACTGAAAGCGGCCCCAAGCTCACCGCGAAGGCTCGCCATAGCGGCCCAACGCGCTCACGGAGCACCGCAGGGGAGAGCATGATAATTGGGTGCAGCTTGCACGGGGCATCCAGGCATGCTTCCCCGATGACCGAGAGGATCGCCCCGATCAACCGCACCCCACGCCCGGTGCACGACGGGGACATTGGCAACCTAATCCAGGTCTGCACCAACTGTATGCCCGAGCCCCAGGAGCGAGGATGCATTAACATGGGCACCACTTGGTTCGGCATCCTTCGGCCGGGTAGCGCCACCAGTTTGGCCATAAAGTGCTCCACAGTGATTCAACAGCCAACATCGATGATTGAGCCATTCAACAGGGCGCGGTCGCAGGCACGTTTCTAACCCGTGAGCTGGCGAAGGAGTGCATCGACATAGGTGACAGCCTCGATGTGTTCTACACTATCTTCGACACTACAATCAGGAAGCTTCTTGCGCACGAAACCAACCGGAGCTGGTGGACGCACCTGGGTTAACCCGGTACCAGACGAAGCTGACCGTAAGCATGTCTAGGCAAGACGCCTTCAGGCGGATATGCACCCACTGGGCTGATGACTGGGTTCATTGGTACCACTTAACCGTGGTATCCGCTTGGAGGACAAGATCCTCTGGCAGGCCCAAATACCTTCGGGCGACGATCACCCGTGGGCCATTAACCAGCCATGGGCGGTCAACCCTCACCCGGGATGGGAGTACAAAGCGAAGACGGCCACTTATAACCAGAGGTGGACTTCGCCGATCCTCAAGCATCCCGACTTCATCTGCTGGGAGGTGCTCGGCTGGTTACCGGCATTAACAGGCAGTCCGCGAGCAAGAAACCCAGGACGGATCACGATGAGGCCGTTGGAGCGTGGCGCAACAGCGGCGAGCGGAATGACGACCGCGTCGTGGAGGACGGCGCGAGGGCGCGCATGACGACCAGAAAGGGCACATGATCGCGAGGATGCGTACGCGCGCGCTGACGCGGCCAAGGGCCACGGGAAGGGTGAAAAGGCCAGGTCGTCATCCATCAGGGCAAGGAGGACGTGAGCGACACCTAACCATCGGACATGTTCAGATGGCTTTCCTCACTAAGGTATATTGCAAGTTTCACCATGAGCGTCCCAAGCGAACGTGTATGACAGACCTGGTGTGGCGAATACAGATAGAGCGGCGGCCCCGTCATACTTCTAGTATGCTTGTGTTGTTGTTGCACTCGCGCCGTAGATGGTATTGAACTTAGTGCTTACACTTTGCGCGTGCCAGTTTGTGCCGTGTGCACGCTAACCATGAGTTTGCCCATATTTCACGTCAGTCGTCTTTGATGCCACCCATTCGCCGTAATCATTTGTTGTCAGGGAAGTTGATATTTGGAGTTGCACATTGTTTAAGCGACGTGGTACCTGATCGAGAGGGTGTTTCGATATAGGTCCCCACCCTACTGTCCAACTGCCGGCGTTTGGTTCAAGTAAGTGTAACCGCAGCCAGGCGGTGCGACACAGCTGTGTACTTTCGGTATATGTATGCTCACTGCGAAGCAGATCTCAATCTTCATTACCATCGTCCTGTTCAGTCTACAGGAGGAGGAAGAGGAGGAGGAGGAGGAGGACGAGGAGGAGGAGGAGGGGGAGGGGGTGATGATTCGGGAAGGAGGATACCATGGCCAGGACCATGGTATCTCCGGATTTCGTGGTCACCTTTTATTTTTTCAATGCGCTTTGTGGTCGCCCCCTCGTCCACGGTCATGGCCATGCTCTGGGCCATAGTTTACCACCCCCCCTTTTGGATGCCCCCGACTCTTGCGGGCCCTTTTCTGTTTGTACAGGAGCGCGGAGGCAGCGGCGCTCCTCGGAGGAGCAGGAGGTCATAATCAGCATGCGATCTGGCATTGCCAGGATGTCCCAGCTCTCGTTGTCCCGCGCGGGCTCCAGAGGCAAGGGCCGCCAGCTGCGCCAGAGTGCAGGGAGCGTACCCTTTCAGGGGCAGCCCCTCAGGGAAGGATGGGTTCGGGGGGCGACGCATCGACCCAGGATCGCCCATGCATCGCCGATCGGCGCCCGATGGCCCACCCCGCCCAGAACCCGGCGGATTTGCTGTCGGGGTTTATCGCCGATCTATCGGCGACATGTCGCCGATTCCAGTTCGATGTGTCCTCCCTGAGCCGATCCCGCCCTCACGTTGCCCTGAACCCTGAGCCAGTCGTGTGACGACTTCATTGTCGTTCCAGATTGGGCCAGAGAGGCGCTCTTCCAGGGGCGCGCACCGGGCTGGGTGGGGAGAGGGAGGCAGCCTTCCGAAAGAGATGTGGGTTTCTTAGATGGCGGTGGCTTTCTTAGCAAGGCCTTGTGGCGTCCAAGAGGGCTTCATAGAAGCTGGGAGGGCTCCCAAGAAGTCACCACCTGCCTTCTGGACCTGCCTCAATGCGCGTTCTGACCATGATCTCGGGGCGAGTCTGGACGTGGCGACTGTTGATTCCCAGGACGCCTAAACACGGCTCAACCCTTCCCACATCCGTCCCACTCGTCCTCCTCTTCCTCTTCCTCCTCTTCCTCTTCCTCCTCCTTCTCTTCCTCCTCCGCCTCCAACTCCGTCTCCTGAGATCTCCAGGGGACCGCCCCCCCAAAACAAAAAACAAAACAGTGACGTACCAAACCTTTTTCTAACACGGAGCAGCTATATTAAGGACCGCTAAACACAAACGAGCATGATGGAAGACGCGCACTTCGCAGCCCTCCAGGGAACCGCGAGGTCTCGGCAGATCCGCGTGGACCTCCGCCCCACTGGACCTCTCGTCAGATTTGCGTGGACCTCCACTCCGCTGGACCTCCCAGCAGCCCAAGAAAGTGGCGACAGTTGCGCGGTTCGCAGCCCCGCAGGACCCGCGAGGTCTCGGCGATGAAGAGGACAACTAAACAGGAAAGAGAGGGAGGCGGGGAGTGGACGACGAGGAGGCGGGGAGGAGGGAGGAGGGAGGCGGGATGAGGAGAAGGAGGTGGGGCCCACAACATTGCTCTATTCAAATCGATAACCCAACTCAGGGAGGGTTGGGAAAAAAAGCATCATACTTCCCAAACATGTTGATCCTCATCCATCCTCCTCGTCCTTCAGCTCGCCCACTGTTCTCGGCGGCCGACGTTCTATCCATTCCACCGCCGAGGCCCCCCCAACTCGTGACAGCAGGGGGGGAAAGACATGGGCAAAAAAGCCATGTTACCCGGAGGCTCCGCAACTCATCTATCCTTCGCTCCCCCGCCCACGGGAGAATTGTGGCAGGAACAGGGGGATGCCACGAACGACGAACCTATCCACACCCTGGATGGGGCAATCATCGGCGGGACTTCTCAGAAGCCCTCGCGCCTTCTGGGAAGTTGTTGTTTCTGTTTTCGGGGAAAGCTCAGAAAACTTCTCAGAAGGCCGGGGGACTTCCGAGCCTTCTGAGAAGGCTTTCTCCTTCCCACTCCCCCCCCCCCGCTCGCTGCCGAATGGGCGGCGGAATCCGAACTCTGCCCTGTCCGATCGACGAGTCAGGCAGCTCGAGGGGCGGCGGGGGCAGGCTTCGGAACTCGTCGGACACGTCGGTCCTCGAGTCGGGCACCACCCGGGCCCCTGGAGGTCAAGGCCACTTGACGGGCGTCCCCTCCCGAGGCCGTGCTCGACCGTCTCGAGGCCTCCGGTCAGGGCCCAGAGGCCGCCAATGGGCAGAAGCCAACGTCGTTGCTGCTCACGACGCCGAGCGCGACTTCCCCGAGATCGGCTTTCCATCCTGAGCTGGAGTAGGGGATCGATTACAGAGTTTGACTGACCCAAAACTTGATGTGCTCGTCGAATCTACGAACATACGTCGAATGACCCGTATTTCTACGAACAGTATACACATTTCTTTGGTAAATTCGACGCGAAACCTGATTCTGGGGTAAATCAATTCTGTAGTCGATCCCCTACTCGATGAGTGGGCTTTCGACGGCCCTGGGGCCCGACAAGGGCCCCCCAAGAGGCCGAAGACGGCCAAATCAATGCGTCGTGATTTGTGCCACGACGCGAGGAGTCGGGGGCTCTTGCCTGCCGCCCACGAGCAACTGCGGATAAAGTGTCGACCGCACGTAAAGCCAGCGGGCGGGCCCGTCTGTGGTCTTCGATCGGGCTCGGGCTGCAGTTCGCCGCCGTCGTGCACCGGGTGTACATCGCCTCCACGCTGGGGTTTCTGTTGCAGCTTGAGCCGCTTCCAAGGGAGTGGCCAGTTACCGAGGCCAAAATCCTCCGTCTTCTGGTGCGCGGCCCGTTCAGGTGGTGCGACCCGGGTGACCTGCACGGGCTACGGCGGGATTTCGGCTTCCCGCAGGAGTTCCAGGATTTACGCATCGTGAGCGCCGCGGCGAAATTCCGCGTTTGGCACCGCGAAGCCCGGGCGCAGGGCGGGCTGCAATGCGTGTCTCGGCTTCGATGCTTGGAGGCGCTGCTCCGCGATTCCCCTCGCGTTCACCGCCTGGCGCGGTGGCCCGGATGGTGGCGGACTTCGTATCACCAAAGGCTGCGGGACAACGCCGACGCGCTCATGCGGCAGGGCATCACGCTCCTTGAAGCGCAGCACCAGGCGGCTGGCACGGCAGCGCGACCATGGACCCTTGATCAGGCGCGCAAGGCGGAGACGGGGCTGCAGCGCGCGGTCGGGAGGCTGCTTCTTGCCCAGGAGCGGAGGCTGCCAGAGGTGCGCATGCGCGCCAAGCTCGAGCACTGGGACGTGGGGCTTTTCCCGCGGCTGCGAGCGCAGCGGGCGATGACCGTCTTGCACCGGCTCGCATCCCTTGTTCCCCGAGTCGCAGCGGCAGTGTGGCGCACGCTCTGGTCGGGGTGGTGCACTGCAAGGCGCTTCGGCGGGCGCGGAGCATGCCTGTTCTGCGGCCTCGAGGACGGGGACTCAGTGGAGCACGCCACGGTTTGCCGCGCGATTGCCGAGTTCGGGGCGGGCCACCTGCGGCTGCCGTACCGGCGAGACCGCGAAGCGCGGAGGCTGGACTTCTTGCTGCTTGAGCCGCAATCCGATCTCACGGATGCTCGGCTGACGCTCGGGGCTCTGCGGATGGTCGCGGCGTACCAGCTGCATTGCAGGTTTCGGCGTCAGCGAGCGGCCCTGAGTGGCGCGCACACGGTGCGCCGCGCACTTGAGCAAGCCGTCCGGGAAGCCGTTCAAGGGCATCGCCAGGCCGCAGCGGTGTTGGACACGCGCTGGCAGTGAGTTCCAGTAGCCGTCCAACCTCTTCTCCCCCCTCCTCTTCCTCCTCCTCCTCCCCTGCTGACGCCGCTGCCGGCTTGCCGCCACTTTTTTTTGTTCCTGCGAGCGCCCAGGGTGGCATGTGTTCGTGCTTCGCCGCCTTGGTTGGCACCGAGGATCGTCGCAAGCCGCGTCCGGGCCGCGTCTGTCTGTCCAAGGGGGGCAGGATTTGTCCGCCGCAGCCGGCGCCCGCTTTTTTTGCCCTTCTCCCTGGCCGGCGTTTCGGCCACGTTCGTAGGACAGGCTTGCGACGAACAGTTAGTTGCCAGCACGCTGGGCGAGGCGAGTGTTGCATGTAGCTTCTCACTGTGGTCATTGTCCCGATCGGGGTCCATGCGGGTTCCGTCTTTGTGGCTGGCAGCCATCTGGCTCCAGTCACAAACCACCCCCTGGGGGGCCGCACGCCCGGGGGGAGTGGGGGTCGTTCCTTCCCCCCTTCTCCCCTTTCTCCGCTTCTCCTTCTCCCCCGCCCTCTCCCCTTCCCCTGTTTCCTCCGGCCTTTCCCTCGCCCCCTCCCTGTCTCCCCCGTCGTCGGCGTGGTCGTTTCGTCGCCTGGTCGTCGTCGTCGTCGTCGTCGTCGTCGTCGTCGTCGTCGTCGTCGTCGTCGTCGTCGTCGTCGTCGTCGTCGTCGTCGTCGTCGTCGGGGGGCGGTCCCGGGCTTCCCTCCGGTCTGTGGCCCCCCGTGGGGGTGGCGTCCGAGGCAGCGGCTTCTGGTTTAAACCCGCGGCGTCCTGCCAGAGGAATGAATGTCCAGGCCGCTCGTCGAAGAACAGCTGCCACCCGCAGCGCTCGAGGAGGGGTGTTGTCCTCTCCTCTGCCTCCTCCATCCTCTTCCCGTCCGTCGCCGTATTTTTTTTCCGCATCGGGCTGCCGATCCCCGACTCCGAGATGACAGGTTTGCTCTCGGCTGTGGATGCCCAGGACGCTCGTTCTGAGCGTGCAGCCGTCTCCCTCCTTTGCCCTGCTCTCCTCCGCCTTCTCGCCTCTCCTCTGCCCCCCTCCTCGTGTCCAGGGTGTGTGGGCGCCCTGGCGTTCCGATTAGCGCCGTCGCGCCGCTTGCACGGCCAGGGCATGCTGGCAGACCTCTGACTGCCCGGCGCACGGAGCCGCTCCTCTCTCAGGAGCCGTTTTGGGCCCGCGTTTCCGCGTCTGTTGGTAGGGCCTTCGTGGCCGATTCTTAGCTTCTCACTGGTGTGCAAAAGCTGCCCAGTCGACCGCCACGTTTCATTGTAGGGCACCTGGGGCGGGTTGTTTGCTTGAGACGGCGTGCGCATGACAGTATTATTGTTTCCTTGCCATTTCCTCTTCTCCTCCGTTGTAGGTTTATCAACGTGGCCACCTGAGTCGCAAGGGGCGCATAGACCTACATTGTTTCATGCTGTCCCAGTTTGTTAGTGCACGCAGCGGCTCACTTACTCCAGGTTGGCTGTAGCAGGCTCTTTGGTTTGGATGTGTGTGTCTCCCGCCTCCTCGGTCTCCTCCTTCGCCGTCGTCGTCCTCCTCCTCCTCCGGCGGAAATAGACGCAATATGTTTTAACAGTTTTAACGCCGGTTTGAGTTATTTCATTGTACTGTGCACTCTCCTTTAGCTTGTCGTTGCGCGCTGTCTATTTAATGGTCGGTTGGACCTCGTTGGGATGCACACACACAGCGTCATTGTCAAAAAAAGTGTCGATCGCACGTATCCCACCTGACAAAGCCTGGAGAGAGAGCCCCAAAAGGGCCCAGACAGAGCCCAAACAGGGCCCCGAGAGAGCCCCAGAAGAGTTTAAAGAGAGACACAAGAGGTCCCCCGCCAGCCATCAAGCCCATGGCTCCGCCCAACAAGGACTTTGCCCAGCTCTTCTCTAGACGGTTGACCAGGGGCGTTTGGCCACCGCGCCAGATTGCCGGCCGCATTCGGTCCACAGGCAAGCGGGGAAGTGGTGCCACGCGGATTCCCCCTAATAGCACGGCTCAGCCCCCGCAACCGCCTTTCGGCCCAGCAAGAATGGCGAGGCATTCTCCAAGGCAGCCACCGAGACAGCACGCGATGGTCCAGGATGGCCTCCAATAAGTCTCCAGACAGCCACAAGACTGCCCGAGGTGGCCACGGAGCTTCCCGACGATGGCCCCGACAGGCCAAACACATGCAGGCGTCTGAGGTTCCTCAATGATTTGGCCTCCTCGTTGGCCGGCTTCTGTTTAACGCTCGAGGCCGCCACGTGTGCCCAGGATCGCGGAGGCCCCGAGGCCGAAAAACAGGCGGGGCTCAAGCCACGCGAGAAAAGATCGGGTGGCTCGGTGATCTGGGCCTCCCGGGTCGGCACCTGGCGCCTCCCAGGGCAAAACCAGGCCTCTCTTGCGCGCGGACCCCCCAGAGATCGCGCACACGTGGGAAGTCGAGGCCTCCTGCCTGCAGCTTCCTTCAATCCAGGCCTCCGGAGTGGGGCCCGAGCAGATGGGGGCCAGAGGATCGTGCCGCATCGCCGATGCATCGGCGATGAAGACACGATGTGGAGCCCGAGTGGTTGTTCCCGTCGGCGTTGCGCTTGCGATGCGGCGCGGTTGGCCGGTCCGCCGGCCCCATCTGCTCGGACCCCATTTGGGAGGCTTCGGGTCATCTAGTGAATTGGGGCCTAGGCCATGTCAAGAGCAACTGCAATGACAGAAGTTCAATACTGAGGACTCCAGGGGCCACGGGGGGCACTTCGCTCAGCGCCTGTGGCACTGTGGCGGATCTGTCCCCCCCCGCTGCATCAATGAGCTACCGAAGGCCGAAGGTGCCCCTGGCCCAAGGTGTCCACAGGATCTCCTGGGAGACCCCGCGGCCTCAAGAGCACCCACCTCGGGGCCTGGAGGGCCTCTTACGGCTGCAAAGCCATTGGAAAACTCGGGGACACCCTGGGCCAGGTCACCCTCGGCAACCCCCGCCTGCTGATTCTTGCAGTCCTCACAAGCACGCCCTCGAGCTTGATGGACTCACGCGCCACTGCTTCTCTCCTCGCTCCCGCGGGCGCTTCTGCCAGCCAGATGGCGCACGAGGCCTGGAGCGCCTCCGGGCGGAGTGCCACTCACCGCTGCGGCTCTTCGTGCGCGGCGTTCTTGTGCCGCGATGCAATGATCTTGGGGGCCGCCGAGGGCTCCGCTGGGCCTCACGCCGAGCTGCCGGCGGCGCCAGCGCGCCTTGCACCCAAGGGCAGGCGGAGCCACAGTGCCGGAAGGGTCTTACGCAGCCCCCCCCTCGCACATCTCCTCCTTGCTCGTCTTCGTTCGTAGTTCCTCCCTCCGCTTCCTCCTCTTCCCTCTTCTCCCTCCTGGCATCCTCGTCGTCTTCCTCGTCGTCCTTACCGTCATCGTCCTCGTCCTCGTCGCCGCGGTCACCGTCATCGGTCATCATCATCGCCCTCGTCGTCGTCCTCCTCCCTCCGCAGGATCTCCCGGACACCATCTCTTACAGGAACCTCTCGACCATCCGTGACGGGCGCAACCAGGGTCATTGCGGCAGGTGAGCGTTCTTTTATTTATTTGTTTCCTATCGGCGAAAGCTCCCGACCCCCCCTTCCTGGTACGTAGAGAGGGTCGGGGCTGATTTGGGCACTTGCGTCAATCCGTTGGACGAAGCACAGGGCCGCCTCCCCCCTCCCTGGGAGACGCGAGCTAATGATGTGTGCAACTGTGCACATTCTTATTTGTGTCTTCTGCAACCACAAGGAGAGGGCTCCGGGGCGCTGGACGTGATCACAAGAAAAAGAGTACCTCTGGCCCCCCTCCTCCCTCGCATGCCAGCCGAAGACCTTGTGAAGGATCGCAGTCCACAAAGATCCCAAGGAGTTCGCGCAAAGCCTCTGCGCAGCCCTCGCACAGCCCTGCACCGCCACGCACAGCCCTGGCACAGCCCTGCATAGCCGCTGCACACCCCTGCACAGTGTTGCACGCCCTTGCACACCCTGCACGCTCCTGCCCAGCCCTGCATACCCTTGAACAGCCCCTCACTCCCCTGCCCAGACCTGCACAGCCTCTGCATGCCCCTGCGCGGCACTGGCACAGGCCTGCACAGCTCTTGCACGCAATATCCAAGATGAGGATTTCAGGGAAATCTGAAGCTTCAAAACTGCTTCGATCGGATCGACTCAGCACGGGCCTGGAGCTAGAAGCTAGACCCCTACCCCTCCCCCCCCTCACGCCTCATGCCGGAACCATAGACACAGAAAAGCGCTCGCCAGCTGCTGGGCGTTCGCCGCGGAGACCGCGATGCGGGCCTGCGCCCACGGGGGAGCAGAGGTGGAGGGGGGAGGGGGAGAAGGGGGAGGGAGTAGGGCGGTGAGGGAGGAGGAATATGAGTAATTGGTTTACTGGTTTATTGGTTCATTGGTGCTGGAAGGTGGAGGTACGTTTGGACCCCTCCCTGCAGCCGTCTTCGTTGGCCGAGGGGCTGCAGGGAGGTCCTCGGCCCCCTCCGGTGGCAAATGACGCCCTCATGAAAAGTTGAAATAATGGGAGTGGGGACCCACGCAACCCCATTGATGGAAGTTGCGCGGGGTGTGAGGCCTATTGACGGTCCTCACAGGCGAGGCCTAATGACGGTCCTCGCCGGGGGGGAAGTGGGGAGGAGCGATGATGTTCAGGATGTCGTCGCCCTCCTTGGCGCACCGTCCTTTCGGGAACGCCTGGAATTGGCGGCCTGAACGTCCACCAAGGATTGCCATAGTCCCCCTCCGCCCCCCCCGAACGGGGGGACGGGGGGAGAGGACGTGGGACAGGGGAGCATCGGCATAGCATCGGCATGAGTAGTCAGCAGTGGCTCAAGACCCCCCCCCTTTTTGCCACGCCCCCTTTTGTCAGTAGCGTTGCTGGGGGATGCCAGCCCATCCTCGGATGTCAGAGTTTCTCCCATACCATACAGGCGGCAGAGCTTGCAGCTACAAGAGATTGGCTACCGCCCCCGGGGGGCACGATTTGTTAACACCACCGGGGGGCACGATTTGTTAACACCACCCGTGACACGGCTTTGGTCCCCTGGATAAGCCAGTGTCCACCTCTGTCCCGGCCGCGTGGCCGATGACGTGTCCTGACGGCTCCTGGAAGAGTGCGTGCGCCTGGAAGGGAAGACGAGAAACCTGGCAGGGATCAAACGCACACTGTCGATACTTGAGCCGGGAAGTAAGGTTCAGGTGTGACCGAAACGTTGGGAGGGAGGGGAGGGAAAAGAGGAGGGAGGAGGAAAAAGAAGGGGAAAAGAGAGGCGAACGCCCTCAGGGGCGGATAGGCCGGTACACCCTTAAAACCAGTGTAGCCTCGCCGGCCATCGGCGCGCCATCCGCGGCCTATGAATCTGGGTTTGGGAAATACGAGCGTCCAGACCGTTACGCCTCGGATTGACGCCCCCCCCGCACGCGCACCCGCCCGCCCCCCGCGAGGAGGGGGAGGGGGGAAAGAAAGGAAACCGGGGAGGGGGAAGGAGAGGAGGAAGGGGAGGGGAAGCGAGAGCGAGAGAGAGAGAGAGAGAACGAAAAGCAAGGAGGGAAGGGAAGGGAAGGAGCCAAGCGGGGAAGGAAGACGGAGGGAGTGGTGGGCGAACTTTCCGAGGCAGTGGTTCATAGTGTTTAGGGTCCCGCAGCTGCCGCCAGCTGAGAGCACGCGCGCTGCAGCCAGTCCGGTGCACTGACGCCCCTGCGGCTCAGCATCTAGCGACAAATCGAACTTGTGGGGAACCCAGAATCCGAAAGAGCCCCAGCGAGCTCAAGTAGCGCTTTTGGTTTGTGCTCCTCCGGGACGGTGAAGCGGCGGTCGACTTTGGCTAGTACACCGACGACAATGGAGCGCTTGATGTGGGCCGGCACGAAGCTGGAGTAGTGCAAAAATGGCGGGAAGTCGAATTGTCCACCGTAGCCAGGCGGGTCAACTGATGCCGGCCGTGCGGCCACGGTGCCGTTGTCATGTAGGCTGATGCGCATGCCCGTGATGACATCCCTGTGGTCGGCCTCGCTGGGCAGCGGGTAGCATTGCGCAGACCAGGAGGCGACGACCGAGGCAATCTGGTTGGCGAGTGCCTCCTGCAGGCCGGGCGGGCCCTTCCAGATGCATATGTAGTCGTCCATGTACCGCGACTCCAGCACCAGAATGTGGACGCCTAGGACGTGGACGTACCAGACCCTGCCCCTCGACGCCGGCGGGGCGGGGGCGGGCGAGTACAACGACGCGTGGAAGACGACGTCCGAGTACACCAGGACCATGCGCGTGAGCGCCCCGGCGAGAGAGCTGCCCATGGCCAGGCCGTCGATAGCGCGGCCGACGAGGGAACCGACTGCGAGCCACAGGTGCTTAAGGCTGTATGGACGCCTCGATGTCTGCGAGACTGAACTCCAGATAATGGTGGGAGGCCGGTGGCGGCGCGTGGGGCAGGCAGCGGCCCTGCCCACGCCGGCGGGGGGCCGAAATGATCGCCACGCCCAGCGATGTTAGCACGGAGCGGTAGTACTGCCACGATGTGCGCACCAGCGCGTGGGGAATGCTGGAGAAGCAATTCGTCAGGTCGCTCCCGCATTTCCTCGCCATCCCATGGGGGGGCAGCGCATTGAACTGCACGATGAGGGGGAGAATGAGGTCCGTCCGCTGGCAGTCTATGTGGAGGTGGTCGGGAATGCAGGCCGAGCTCCCCCAATCCAGAGCCCTCGCCGCGGGGGCCTCCAGAGGCTGGGTGGGCCACCGGGAGCGGTCTACCAAGGGCCGGCGGCCGTCTGGTTTCCCCCGGCGTTTATTGGGAGCTGAGGCGGCAGCCATCCGCCAGGAGCCCGGGCGTGAGAGCACGGCGGGCTGAAGGTGGGGACGAATGCCCGCTACCGTCGAAGCCTGCTGCAACACCCAACTGGCCGTAAGACCCGGAAAATACTGGAAGCTGGGGTCGGATCCGTCCACACCGAATAGGCCATGGCACAGAAGCTGGAAGCGGCGCGGGCACTCCGCGACGAGGACGTGCCTCGACTTCTGGAACTCCTCCACGACGAGACCGCGGGTGAGACGCCTGCCGATTGTGATTGCCTCGTGCCCGACGGGTTGGAAGTCCACCTGCTGCGGGATGGTTGTGAAGTCGATGGCGTCAAGCGCTTCGTCCTTAAAGCTGGCGAGGGTGGCGTCCGTACAGATCAGGCCCAGGGCACGGCAAACCCGCCAAGCCCGCCGGAGGACTCGGATGCACGTTGTTGCAAACATGGCCCGCGATGGTACGACACTCGTGTGCGCCGGGAGGAAACGAAGCTGGTGGAGGTGTGCCGGCCACGCCCAAGTGTCCTGTGGCGCGTAGATATGCCAAGCACCATCTGGCGACTGGTAGCGGGGCAGATCTGGGTGAAGGTGGCACGAACACGGCCACGCGTCCTTGGTGCCAAGCTGGCGGCAGTACCGCGGGGCGTTGCGCAGTGCTGAGCGCAGCGTGCAGCAGCTGGACGGCGTGAGCTTTATCCGTAGGTCACGGATACCCGGAATCATCGCAACTTGGCCGCGCTCCCTGGCGTAATTAGCTGATGATGCGGTAAATGAGGTCGCGGAAGAGCGTACGTACATGCGCGTCCGGGAGCCATGGCGCGGCGCCTTGCACGCAGAGGCGCGGTCTGGGCCACCGTCGGAACCGCCTGATTCGGTCGAGCGTGCGTAGACCGATGGCCTTGGTGGTGCCACTCTGGCTGCGATGGATCCGATGCCACAATGCGAACAGCTCAGTGGACGTGAGGCGGTAGAGCTCGGAATGCCCTTGGTCGGCCTCGGCGGCTGGGAGCGCGTGGCACGCCAGCTGTGCCCATCGCGTGATGGAGGAAGAGGGGCAATCCTCCGAATGAAACAAGGCGAGGCGCGCGTCGCCCGCTCGGGGGTGCATGTCCTGCCCGTGTCGTCGCCGCTGCGTAAGACGGGCGGGCGCCGTCGGGGGGGCGGCGGAGATGCGGAGTCCACGGGCCAACCGCTGGGCGGGTGCCGATGCCGGGCCGTGCTGGGCCTGGAGTCGGTGCACGTGGGGCACGTTGAGGCGCGGATGCTCAACGTCAATGAGGTGCCGCTCCAAGGCCGAAGCAGCGGCGTCAGAGGGGAGGCGAGCGATTGGGAGGTAGAGCCATGACGCAGCAGCTGCTGGGGCATCGCCGCCGGTGCAGTGCCGCAGGTGCACCATGTACGGCTGCTGGGAGTCGTTCGAGGGGCGCAGGAAAGCGTAGAGGTGTTTGCGGAGGCGTTCCTTGAAGCAGACGGTCTTCCCGATGTAGAAAAGGCGCCTCCAGGGACTCCACATTATGTATACCACAAATGGGGCGTCCATGAGGGCCTCGGTGGGAGGCCAAGCGGCTCCCGGAAGCGTAGCCGCTAGGAGGCGGATGCGAGCGTAGAACTTGTGAGTGCTGGCCGTGAGGAAGTGCCTGGCGAGGACAAAACCCAGGCGGTGGAGGGCGAAGATGCAAGCCCAAGGGAGGGAGCCACCGGAGGAATAGAGGCTCAGGAGGCAATCCTGGAGGAGCCTGAGGCCCGCGATGATGAGCCTGCGGACGCGCGGGCTCCGGGAGACCCGGGGCATCCCATCACAATGCACGTCCCACACGCCACCAGACGTGCGCCCCCGTAGGCAGCGGGTGCGAAGTCAGGCCTCCGCCTCATCCAGACGGGCACGCACCGCGGCGACGAGCTGGATGACATCCGACAGCCTGGCAGCGTCGAACTTAACGCCCAAGGAGTCTGGGATGCGCTTGAAGGTGTCGCTGGCCTCCTTCGACTTGGGCTTGCCCTTGCCCCCGCCCTTGCCTTTAAGAGCCAGTGCTCTGAAAGCGGCGCGATAGGACTCGAACTTCGCGCGGAGCGGTGCCGCATCCTCTGCCGCGACGGCGCGATCCTCCAGCGCCCAGTCAAGGGCGCGGGTGCCGCTGCGCTCGTGGAGCCTGTCGAACGAATAGTTTTTGAGGTCCTCCAGCGTGATTGCGAGGGCGTCCGCTGGGGGCTGACCTGGCGCAGCAGCCGCACCGGCAGGCGCTGCGGCTGGGGCCTGTGGCTGCGCGCAGCCCTGTGCGAGGGCACGTATCGATGAGGGTGCGATGAGTTGCGTCTCCGCACCGGCCCCATCTGACTCGAGGCGGGCCTGGCCCTCGTCGGCGATTGTGGCCGCAATCTTGCAGATCATCTGAGGCAAGGCGTCCCTCTTCATGGTGTAGGGGGAGTTGCGCGTGAGCCACGTCAGGGACACATTGAAGTTAAAAGTGTCGGCCTCCAGGGGGATGAGGGGCACAATCTTTTGCAGATTGCGGCGCGCTTGGGATCGCATCATGTAGGGGGCGTAGTCGCCAGGGTCATCTGTGACGGCTGTCCGTGTCTTCGGGGTGCACAGGCTCTTGCAGCGCCGCATCATCTCGGCATTGCACGAGGCCCTGGCCTCCTTGAAGCGGGGATCCTCCCAGCTGACATCCGGGAGCAAGTTCGGCGGCACGCCGTAGGCTGCTTTCTGGAGCCGGAGCGCCGTGGCATCGTCGCCGTGGAACAGCTGCAGCAGGTCCTCGTCAGAGAGCTTTCCAACCAAGCTCCGAAACTGATCTGGCGTTGATGTCGACGGAGCCGGGCCAGCGACCACGGGCAACTGTGGAACTCCGGGCGGCGTCCCGTGCGGCTGAGGCAACACCCCCGCCGCAGGCGTGAGCAAGGAGTTGAGGAGTTCGAGGATCGCGGCGTTGTTACTGGGGTTCTTCTGCCCCGGCGGCCCAAAGGTGGCCATGGCTGGTGGCTGCGGGGGGAAGCTGACGCGACCCTGGATTGGGAGCTCCGGGACGCGCGCCGGCGAGCTCTGGCGGCGTTCCTGGGCACCGCGCGCCGCGGAGCGCTGGCGCCGGCGGGGGCGGGAACGGGAGCGACGGCGGGTTGCCCGACCTTCCGGTGAACCGCGGCGGCAGCGTGACCCGCCAGCGCGGCCCTCTGCCGGGGGCCCCGGGGCTGCGGTGGCGGGGGCTGTGCTGAATAGGCCCCGGGCGTCACCAGGCCGGCGCTGCCGCAGGGAGCCGGGGACCTCGATCTGGTCGCAGTCGCCGCCCTCGTGGTTCTTGCTGCCGCAGAAGCTGCACGCCATCGGGCACGGGCGCGGAGGCGTAGGCACCTGTCTTGCGGAGGTACGCGGAACACGTCTCGAGCCCCTGAGCTGCGGGCGGCGGCCCTGGCAGGGTCACCTGAAAACGGGGGCGAAAACATCACCAGCACTTTACTTCCGCCGTCTCCTGCGAGCCCCGCGCCGCCGGCCACAAGTGAACGGGCCAACGCAGGCGACCGCCCCAGCCCCCCGAGCATAGACAGAGCCCACACCGAAACCCTAAGGCCCAACGTGGCCGGCGAGGGTTGCCAGGGGGGACAGGGGCCGGGGAAGTTAGAAGGCGTAGTAGAAAAAGGCCCAGGACCGCATTTGTTTGGCTCAAGGTGAATAATCACAGGTAAGCAACTTTTTTATATTTGTTTTGTTCGCATTCCCGTCCTTGAAGAGCTCGGCTAATGGGTGGGGAGCGGGCCCGGCCGCATGAGTGACACCGCGGCGGCACATGTGACACCGCGGCGGCACGGGTCGGGCCATCACCCTTGGTGTATTGGTGTACTGATGGGCGCATGACGCCATAAGGTAAAATGGTGTACTGGCATTGACAGGAACCGTCAGCCGGCAGGGGATAAATCCCGTTCACGGCCCCAACGAGGAATATGAGGAATTGGTTTACTGGTGTATTGGTTCATTGGTGATGGAAGGTGGAGGTACGTTTGGACCCCTCCCTGCAGCCGTCTTCGTTGGCCGAGGGGCTGCAGGGAGGTCCTCGGCCCCCTCCGGTGGCAAATGACGCCCTCATGAAAAGTTGAAATAATGGGAGTGGGGACCCACGCAACCCCATTGATGGAAGTTGCGCGGGGTGTGAGGCCTATTGACGGTCCTCACAGGCGAGGCCTAATGACGGTTCTCGCCGGGGGGGAAGTGGGGAGGAGCGATGATGTTCAGGATGTCGTCGCCCTCCTTGGCGCACCGTCCTTTCGGGAACGCCTGGAATTGGCGGCCTGAACGTCCACCAAGGATTGCCATAGTCCCCCTCCGCCCCCCCGAACGGGGGGACGGGGGGAGAGGACGTGGGACAGGGGAGCATCGGCATAGCATCGGCATGAGTAGTCAGCAGTGGCTCAAGACCCCCCCCCCTTTTTGCCACGCCCCCTTTTGTCAGTAGCGTTGCTGGGGGATGCCAGCCCATCCTCGGGTGTCAGAGTTTCTCCCATACCATACAGGCGGCAGAGCTTGCAGCTACAAGAGATTGGCTACCGCCCCCGGGGGGGCACGATTTGTTAACACCACCGGGGGGCACGATTTGTTAACACCACCCGTGACACGGCTTTGGTCCCCTGGATAAGCCAGTGTCCACCTCTGTCCCGGCCGCGTGGCCGATGACGTGTCCTGACGGCTCCTGGAAGAGTGCGTGCGCCTGGAAGGGAAGACGAGAAACCTGGCAGGGATCAAACGCACATTGTCGATACTTGAGCCGGGAAGTCGGGTTCAGGTGTGACCGAAACGTTGGGAGGGAGGGGAGGGAAAAGAGGAGGGAGGAGGAAAAAGAAGGGGAAAAGAGAGGCGAACGCCCTCAGGGGCGGATAGGCCGGTACACCCTTAAAACCAGTGTAGCCTCGCCGGCCATCGGCGCGCCATCCGCGGCCTATGAATCTGGGTTTGGGAAATACGAGCGTCCAGACCGTTACGCCTCGGATTGACGCGCCCCCCGCACGCGCACCCGTCCGCCCCCCGCGAGGAGGGGGAGGAGGGGGCTGGGGGAGGAGGAAGGCGCGGGAGGAAGGAGGGGGAGGAGGAGGGAGCAGAAGGAGAGGAAGAGGAGGAGGGAGGAGGAGGCGGCACGTGGGAGAGTGGGGCGGGGAGACGGGGAGAAGCGGGGGGGATGGATGAGAAAGATGAGGAGGTGAAGGAAGGAACGATCGGAGGGAAGATTATGAGCAGCTGGAAGAGGATAGATGATGATGAGGAGGAGGAGGAGAAGGAGTGTGAAAGAATATGGAGGAGGAGGAGGAGGAAGGACGGATGAGGGGTGGAAAGGGAGGAAGAGGCGGAGGAAGAGGAGGGGGAGGAGGAGGAGGAGGAGGGGGAGGGATTAGGAAGCAGGATGTTACAGCGCGCCGCTGCAGCCCAAGCTTCAAATACAATGACTGCTCGGATTGGACGGCTGGGAAGGGTGTCTTAGGCGGCCGCTCCAATTCGCAAGCGTCCTCGCAGCAGGAAGAAGGAGAAAAGCGAGCAGGGCGGAGGAAGCACGGAGGCGTGGCTCGATGTTGGCCCGCAAGGCGCCTCGAACAACAAAACATGTTCGTCTTTGGACACGTCGTCGTCGTTGGTCGTCGTCGTCGTTGGGCGTCGTCGTCGTATGTCGACGTCGTCGTTGGTCGTCGTCGTCCTCCTCCTCCTCCTCCTCCTCCTCCTCCTCTCGTCGCCGTCGTCGGTCGTCGTCGCCGTTGTCATCGTCGGACCCACCAGGGTCAGCTCTCTCGATGGCCTGCCGCCCGAGGTCCCGCGCGCGGGGGCAGAGTTGCGTCCACGGTCCGAACGCTCGCAGCACCTCGGAGGAGCAGGAGCGACCCGAGGGGAGGACGGAGGCAGGAGGGAGGAGGAGGAAGGGGGAAGGAGGAGGGAGGGAGGGGACGAAGGGGAGGGAGACGGGAGGAAAAGAAAAGAAAGGGAGGATGAGGAGAAGGAGGAGGAGAATGAGGAGGAGGGAGAAGCGAGGGAGGAGAAGGGAGGACGCATGACGGAGGACGGAGCAGGAACGAGGAGCCAGGAGGAGGGAGGAGGATGGAGGGGCAAGGGGGGAGGGAGGGAGGGAGGGAAGGAGGGTGGGAGGGAGGACCACTCTGACGCTTCGCGCCCGGGTGCTCCCGCGGCCTGTCTGAGAGAAGGTTTCCGCCCACCCGCCACGCCCGCGGCGCCAGGCGCGGGCGGAGCTGAAGGGCCTGCCCCACAAGTTCGCCGTGGGCCAGATCGTCGCCTGCGCGCCCAACCCCCACGAGTGCGGGGGCAAGGGCGGCTGCAAAGGCGCGAGGGGCGCCCTCTCGCCAGAGCGCGCCGTCGGATGAGGAGGAGGAGGACCAGTGCAAACCCAAGACCCGTCAACGATGTTGCAACCAACCTTCCCTCCAAGTTCCCTCTTCACAGGTCCCTATGAGGGTTCATTTTCACTGAGGAAACTGCCCCGTTGGAAAACAACAGTTAAAAGGTCTTGAACCGCGCGTGCCAGAACACCATTCCTGGGACTTCGACACTGCGAATCAACGTTACTGTTACGTCCAGACGACCCGGGATCGTGCCAGAACGCCGCTTTCGGGATTTCAACACCGCGAATTCACGTTAATGGTGCGTCCTGACAGTCCTCATCGTGCCATAACACCATTTCTGGCACGGCAAGCATAATCCTTGAAACCTGCTGTAGAATCTTATTAAGACGATTGCGCGCGGCGCTAATGCGAGAGCTACATTTTGAGAAGGAGCCGCCCTCCATTTGCAAGCTTTTAAGACGAATGCGCGCGTCGCTAAGGCGTGAGCAACATTTTGAAGACGGTTTGCCCTCCACCCGTGAAGCTCTTACAACTTGGATGGGCGGCGTTCAGGCAAGAGCCACATTTAGAAAACCACCCGCCAACGATTCGTGAAATTGCTGTAATGTTTCGGGGTGCGGCAGAGAGGAACTAGTTATAGGGAAACTGGATCGGGGAGGAGGGCCAGTGTAATCCCACGACGCACCAACGATGTTGAAATAAACCCTCCTTCCAAGCTCCATCTGTATAGGGCCCAACAGGAATGTAGATTCATCGCAGGAAATTCCCCATTGGAAGACAGCTGTCTGAGAATCTCCAATCGTGCCAGAACGCAACTCCTTGATTTTCAGCGTCGCGACTCAACGTGACTGTTGCGTCCTTGAATTCCTAAATCGCGCGAGAACGCCATTCCTGGGATTTCAACACCACGAATCAACGTGACTCTTGCGCCCTGACAACCCTGAATCTTTCCAAAGCGCAATTCCCGGGACTTCGACCATGCGAACCTTTGAAATTCTGACGAACATTTAATACGAATGCGCGTGACACTGAGGCGAGAGAGACTCCTTACGAAAAAATACCTCTCCCCATTCTTTGCGACGTTTAAAAAGAACGCGCGCGGCGCTAGTGCGAGAGCAACATGATGAAATTGCCCGCCCTCCATCCGTGAAGCTCGTGCGAATGTGAAGACGCTGGTGCGCGGCACTCAGGCAATATTCACATAAAGCAAACGCCACGCCCTCCATCCTCGAAGCTGTTACAATGTCAAAGATAAGTGTGCGCGGCGCTATGGCGAGACCCACATTTTGAAACGACCCGCCCTCCATCCGCAAAGTTGTAAATTTCAGGCGTCGGGTTCACACATGGTAGGAAGCCTCAGGCGAAGCGCCCTAGGAGTTGTTTACAAGGAGCAGGGATGGAGGAGGAGGAAGAGGAGGAGGGGGAGGAGGAGGACCAGAAGGACCAACCAGGAGAAGGCAGGAGGAGGAGGAGGAGGAGGAGCAGCAGCAGCAGCAGCAACAGCAGCAAGAGCAGGAGGAGCAGGAGGAGGAGGAGCAGGAAGAGGAGGAGGAGGAGGAGGAGGAGGAAGGCCGATCGGGGGGGGGGAAAGGAGGAGGAGCGTTCACTTTTCCTCAGCGAGTGGGCCCGCTTCATGTACAACGTCTTCACGATGAACACAGAACTCCAGCTCGGAGTCCGGTGGGAGACGGTGCGCGCGCGCATCCGCGAGAGGGTCAGGCTCACGGACAACTCCGGCAAAGCTAAGGCAAAGGGTCGCGCGGAGGGAGCGACGCCAGGCGAAGCAGCACAGTGGACCCCAGAAGCACCCTGAGCACCCGCCCGTCCCGGGCACTCTCCTAGGCCCGGCCGCCTGCGCCGTCGCTTTCTGGGTCCTGCGGGTCCCGTCCCTCTGGGTCATGGGGGGGGGGTCTGCTACCGCGCGCTGCGCTCTGGCGCGCTAGTGCCACCTTGGACGCGCCAGGCTGGGGCTGCTGGTCCGTCCCAGGCACTAGGCCCCCTCTTTGGGACATCCCTTGCGACCCCTCTCCCCCTGGATGACTGCCGCCTCCCCCGTCTCGGTATAGGCGGCCTGGGGATCGGGCCCCTCACTGGCCTCTGCCAATGCTAGTGCCCTTGCGGCAGCCACTTTGCAGCTCCCTGCTGCACTGCATTTTTGCCGCGCCGCTCCGCCCCCCCGGGAGAGCCCGGCAGCCACGGGGCAGTCCTTCCGCGCTGCGTCCTCCCCACGCCCTGGTGCACATACCTCCCCCGGCGGGCCCGCTGGAATCACCTGGGTCGCCCTCCTCACCTGGTAGCTCCCTCGAACTCCTTGGTGTCACCTCACCACCCTCCTTCTGGTTGATTGCCCTCTGGGCCCCGTCTCGACCGCCGTCTCCCTCGGCCGTTGCGTCCACCGCCCGCTCCACGCCGCTGCGGCTGTCTGCTGCGCTGGTGTGGAACGGGCTGTGGCCCCCTTTACCATCCCTGCGGGTCGGGCCCGACGGTCCTTTCCTGGCCACTCCACCCGGTTCGTGGCTGACTGCGGCATCCGGTTAATTACTCCTCCGTTTACTGCTCCCGTGCAGTGCATCAGTATGTCTCAGCCGAAGATGCCCATTTCCCACCTTCCTGCGGCCGTTAGTTGCACCCTACCAGAGGACCAGGACGTCTCCGGCGAAGCAATCCCCCATCACACTGCGGCTGTCAGCTGCACTCTGGCCGAGCGTCGGGATGTCTTAGGTGAAACCTTTTTCCCATCACCCTGCGGATGTTAGCCGCGCCCCAGCAGGGCATCGACGCGTCTCAGGCGGAGCCACTACCCAGCGTCCTGCGGTTGTTAGCTGCACCCAACCATCTAGGCAGGCAGGCGCGGCCCGCGGCCCCCGTGCCGCGCCAGTTACCCCCGCCCCCCCGCAGGACAGCTGCACGTCGCAGGCGAAGCTATTTCCCACCATCTTGCGGCTGTTAGCTGCACCCTACCAGAGGACCTGCATGTTTCAGGCGAAGCAATCCCCCCACGCTCTGCGGCTTTAAGCTGCACTGCAGCCATGCCTCAGGATGCCTCAGGTGAAACCATCATTCTTCATTCTGCGGCCGCTAGCTTCCCCCCGCTGGGCGCCGGTCTGTCTCGGGCGAAACATTTCTGCAACCGCGGCTGCGCCCCCAGGGCCGCGCGCTGGTATGAGGCGATACTGGCGCGGGCGCCCACCTTCCTGCGGCTGTCAGCCGCCTCCCCCCTTAAGGTAATCGAGCTCCTGGCGGCTGTCTGGTGCCTCTCTCTGTCGGGCGCCCTTGTACCGCGTGCTCCCCCCGGGGCGCGAGGGGCGGGAGGCCCCCCTCACCCAGTCGGCCCTGCGCTGGCACTGGAGATGGCCGGGGGTGCTGCCTTTCGGTCTTCAGCAAGGGCGCTGTCGGGCTTCCACTTGCTCGTGCCGCCGTTGGTCACTCCTCGGCTCTGCGGTCACCTGGTCGTTACGTGGCATCGGCATCCGGCAACTGGATTGGATGTGAGTTATTCCGTCGTCTACTTACGTCAAGTACATGGAGTACAGCAAGGTGAGGGTGATCCCCTAGTTGTTCCACGTCTGAGCTGCGGCTTTTCTTATATTTTCCCGTCCCCTGTGTTCCCCTCTCGTCGCCGCTTTCCTTCTTCGCTCGTTTTGCTCTCTCTCTCTCTCTCTCTCTCTCTCTTTTTTCTCTTTCTCTCTCTCTCTCTCTCTTTCTCTCTTTCTCTCTCTTTCTCTCGCTTCGCCTCGTTTTCGTCCCTCTTGCGCGGTCTCTGCGTAGTGGCCCTGTACATGTTCCGTTGCCTTGCACTTGCTCGGTTTCGCATTTTGCTTGACCTTTCGACGCCGCGCGGGTGCCCGCTCGCGGTCGCGATCGAAAGTACCCCCGCAAGCCCATTCATAAACTCGGCCCATGAGAGTTGACGGGGAAAGAGAGGAAGAGACACAGATAGTGAACCAAAGCGGGCAACCAGGATGAACAGTGGGATCTCTTGGAGCAAGGGGGGGGGGGAGCAAGGGGGGGGGGGCTTGCGAGGGCCTTTTCGGGCCCATGCTTGGGGCCCGCGGGGCGGGGGGAGAAGGGGCGATGGGGAGGAGGAGGAGGAGGAGGAAAAGGAGGAGGAGGAGAAGAAGGCAAACCACCGATCGGGGCCCTCGTTGGATGCTCTTGGGGAGCTTTTTGCTTCGGGGGCAGTCTTAGGGCCCTCTTGGGGCTCTCTTAGGGCCCTCTTGGGAGCTCTGGAAAGCTTCGTGGGGCCATCTTGGAGGCCATCGATCAAATGAGAGGGGGGGTCCTCCCCCCCCCTTCTGGGGCCATCCAATTCGCTTTTGGGGGCCCTCCCGGGGCGCTGTTGGGCGCCTTTGGGCCCGTTTGGGGAGCTCATTGGGCCCATCTTGCGGCTCTCTTGGGCCGTCGTGGGGTCACCTTGAGACTTCAGAAGCGCATCGGAAGGGAAAAGGCGAGACGGCAATGACCAGTTATGTCCTGCTGGTGTTTGAAGGATTTGGGCCCCCTGGGGGGTCCTGAGCCGTCTTGTGGCCTTCGCTGGGCCTCCCGGAGGCATGTCGGAAGTTATCTTGAACCATGTTCGGCAATCTTGAGCCATTTTGGAGGCCACCGTGGATTATCGGAGGCCCTCTTGGAGCCATATTGGGCCATTTGGGGCGCCTTGACCGCTCGCGCCCCCCACCCGATATAAACAGGGAGGGGGGGAGGGTAAACCTCCCCGAAGGAAAAAAGGGCTTTGGAAGCGGAAAGGAAGAACTCGTTTGACCACCTACGCCCAGAGGGCTGGTGGGACCTCCCGAACGCCATTCCGGGGAGGGGGTCTGCTTTTACATGGGCGGGTCGCGATTGGGGGGGTCGGCCCGACAACATGGTTTTATATACAGAAACCACCCGGCAACCGAAGAGCATTCTAACATTGCCATTCCGTGTTGGCACGGTGGCAGATGATCATGCAGTCCAATGAGGTGTCCAGCGAGATTCTCGTTTTGAAAAAGAACCATTCCAACCCGTGCAATTGATGCACGAGTTTCGTCTTCTGGCCATGAGCATCGAGGATGCCTCAAGCGAGAAGCCCACGTTGAAAAGGACCCCCGATTCTATTTGTGCAGGAGGCAGAGGATAAGAAGGAGGAGGAGAAATCAGTGAGGGGAAGAGGAGGAGGAGCAGGAGGATGTGGAGGAACGGGGATGACGAAGTTTACGCCGGCAACGACGACAACGACGACGACGATTCAACATGAAGGTCTTTGCGGATGTGGACCTTCTGTTCATTGAGTTCATTGAAGGCCTATTGGAGCCATTTTGAAGCCTCTTGAGGCCATGTTGGGGGCCGGTGACGCCATCTTGGGGCTCTCTCGCAGCCGTCGAGGGGGGGTCTTGCGGTTATTGTTGGGCTTATTTTGGCAGCCATTGATCAAACAAGGAGTGGGTCCGCATTAATAAGCCCGCCCTTCTTTGGCCCGAGACGTTGCCTTTGGGAGTGCTTGTTTGGAACGATCTAACGATCTTTGGTGCTCTTGAGGCAGTCTTGAAAACCCTCTCGGGTCTCTCATGCGTCTTTCTTGAGCCATCTAGGGGCCATCTTGAGGCCTCAGAAGCTCACTGGAAGCGAAAATGCGAAAGCATTAAAATCACGTCTCTGCTTCGGTTTGGAAAGATGTTTTCTTGGGGACCTCCTTAGGAGGCTCCATGGCCACTCGGAGCCGTCGTGGGGCAGTCTTGGGGCCTCTTGAACGCATGCTGGAGAACATGTTAAGCCATATCGGCCTATGTTGCGACATCTTCGAGGCCATCCTGGGTTATATGAGACCCTCTTGGAGCCATCTTGGGCACCCCAACGCCTCGCGACATCCTCCGTGCAGACCCAGGGGACACTGAGATGGGGTGGGGGAGGGGTCAAGCTATCTGCAAGTCGCCAGCCGTCTCGCTCACTCCCACCCGCCCTCCCAACACATATTTTTGCGTCGGCGGCTAGGCCGAGTGACTGCGCTGGCTGAAAGACATTGGTAGGGCATACGAACGCGAATTCAGCCGCGATGCACGATGGGGAGAGGAGGAGGCGCAAACCCGCCCTCACAACACATAATTAAGTATCACCCGACGACCAACACACTCAGCAGCCGCGATTGGACGATCAGCGACTGTGTGGCAATACCGACGCCAGGTGCGCGACGGTGTGGAGGTAGGCTACGTGTGCCAGGCACACCATGGGCGCCAAGCGCCCTGGGGGCCCAAGCGCCTGGTGCGCGAGATGTGCCGCGTGCTCCACATGCGCCAAAATTGTGGGTAGGAGGTACGGCGGTGCTCGTCACATCTGTGTTTGCGCCGACGGGGCTCCCAACCCCTTTTTTCCTATCGGCCCCAAGTTGCTCTGCTTGAGGCCTTCCTGCAGGCGAGGTCATCGTGAGGGCCTTCGTCGCAGTCAGCATATTTGTTCCACGTGCGCCAAGTGTGCCGCGTGGTCCAGCCGCGTCAGGTGCGCGACCTGCGCAGAGTGTGCGCCATCGAGCGTGACAGCACACATCATGAAGCAAGTCGACCCCCACCCCAATGCGTGTGATGTGTTGTTGTCCACAGGGATGGTGGGGGGGATGTTGGCGCGGGCTCTACTCGGCCGCCGGTCGAGTGTCGCAGGGGACGTCTGTTCATAGGGAGCAGAGAGACATTCGCCCGAAGGACGTTGGAAGAGCAACCCCACCGAGGACGAGAACGAGGAAGACGGCAACGACGACGACGACGACGTCCTCGTTATCGTCGTCCTCGTCGTCCTCGGCCTCGTCGTCCTCGTCGTCGTTGTCGTCGTTGTCGTCTGTCGTCGTCGTCGTCGTCGTCGTCGCCTTCGTCGTCGTTGTCGTCCTCGACGCCGTCGTAGTCGTCGTCTTCGTCTTCGTCGTCTTCGTCACCCCTCGAGGGGAACGAAGGAAGTTGGAAGAGGAACCCCGCAGATCACGTCAGCTCAGAAGGCTGGTAGGATTCACGGTCAGGAACTTTTGCTTAGCGTGTCGCGCCGACGGTTCTGGCCCGCCCGGCTTCGGCGCGACACGCCAACCACGTCCAAGTCCCCAAGCATCAACTTTTCGAGCTTTCCCCGCCTCCCGTTCCGCGGAGCGGAGCGACACGCCATCCGCTTGCAAGGCATAGCGTGTCGCAGGGACCACCGCCGCGACACGCTGAGCGAAAGTTCCTGACCACAGAACCGCCGCCCCGCGAGAGAGGTGCCACCGCAGAGCTGGCCTACGAGTACGCTCTGCAGGCTGGCCTTGCGCAGGCGCGCCTTCCTGGTTGCCCCGTCGCCGGCGCCGCCGGCGCGGTGGTCGTCGTCGTCGGCGCTCTGTCGGCGTCGGCGTTGTGCGCGTCGCAGTCGTTGTTGAGCGTCGTCGTCGTTGATGGCGTCTCGTCGTCGGCGTCTTCACCGTCGCCGACAATCGTCGCTGTCGTCGGCGTCGTCACCGTCGACAGTCGCCGCTGGCGTCGTCGTGGGCGTCGGCATGGGCGTCGATGTCATCGGCGCCCCGCTGCTCTTCGTCTTCCTCTTCCTTCTCCCCCTCATCCTTCACTTTCCCGCTTCCTCCTCCTCTCTTCTCTTCCTTCTCCAGGCATGAGCGTTGGTTCTGTGAAGCCGCCTCTTCCTCTCCATCCTCCGCCATCCTCTTCCTCCTCCTTCACCTTGCTTCCGTCCTGCAGGCGAGGGCTGCGCTCTTGAAGACGCCGCTGATGATCTCTTAGAGTGTGAAGCGCCATGGGAACTAGTCTTACAAAGAGCAGCGCCTCCATCTCGGTCTTGCTCCTGGTCGCGCTCGTCCTGCGATACAAGGGCCGTGCAGTCCGCGCGACGGTCGGAGAGTTCACTCGCCCTATCTGCGCTCAAGCCGCTCCTGTTCCCGCGCGTGCCGTTGCTGCACGACCGTGGCTCCAGCGGTGGCGGCGTGTGGTTGGCTCGCGCTGGTCCGCGAGCCAGCCTTCAAGTCATGCCTTCCTTCCGCGATCTTCTCGGGCTTGCGCATGGAAACATGACTTGCTTCGGAGTGTTCGACTCCTGGGTCGAGGTGGTGTAGCCACTCCCATGCAGGCGCGAACGCGGATCCATCCATCTGGGCTCACCGTGCTACCTTCCCGGCCCTCAGTATACGCGTAAGGCATGAGCGTTTCAGCATCAGATGTTCCTCCTCCCCCCCACTCTTCCTCCTCCTCCTCCTCCTCCTCCTCCTCCTCCTCCTCCTCCTCCTCCTCCTCCTCTGGGCAATTCTGCCGAGGCCGCTGAGATTCGCCATGCCCTTCCAGAGAGACTACGGCGGTTTCTCCAACGGTCCAGCGGTGCACAAGCATCGCCGCGAGACGGTACCACGCCAGGGCGCCCGTCAGCGAAGGGGCAATCCACACATCAATCGACGAGCGAACGGCCAGACGCACGAGCTGGAGGCTGGAGCCCGCCTGGACGATGGGATCCAGGAGTCGCGTATCAAACAAACCACAATTCGGGAAGCCGTGTTCTGTGCAGCCGCCGCCCATCGCCCGTAACGATTACGATGAGGTGAGTCCCAACAATATGATTGCATCCTCCCACCTGCACCCCCCGCACCCTTTTCTGCTCCACAATTGCTCCTGCCCCTCCTGATTTCTGCTGCCTCCACGTTGGACGGGTCTGCCGAGTTCTTACCCCACCAAAGCCCGATGTATCCCTTTCGACCAGTCCAAGCGCTATAAATACATACGCAGGGGCACTTCAAATGACTCTTCGAATATCCTAAAGCATAGTCGCCGTCCCCCTCCACCTCGTCGCTTCTCCTCCTACTCCTCCTCCTCTTCTCCCTCCGCATCCTCCTCCTCGTCCTCCTCCTCCAGCCTCCAGCCTCCAGCCTCCTCCTTCTCCTCCTCCCCTAGATCCTCCTCTCCTCCTCACCCCCACCCCTCTTCTGTAAACTCGACCCCGAGGGGCCCCAGAGAGCACCTTCAAACAACGCAGATTCCTCCTGATCTTCCTCATTTTTCTCTCCTTTACCCTCCTCTCCCTCTCTTCTGCCTGCATGTCTCCTTACTGACATACCTACCTGCCTCCGTGCTGACGTGCCTACCGCACTGCCTACATCATCACGTCACCTGCCTGCCTACGTTCTAATTGCCAATGTACGTAACTACCCTGAGTATTCTTCCTTGCCCTTTCATTCCTACATAGTATGTAAGTAACGACCGCGAGGCGGAGAGAGAGGGCGGTAATATATGAGGGGCATGATAGCTCGGGCAAGGGCAGCCAACATCACAAGGAGGAGACACATGACGGCACAGAGAGCGAAGAGGAATTGCATGCGAGCGGTAGCGACGAAGGTGATCTTGTCACACCCCGCACGCAGCAGCGATCCTGGGTGATCTTGCCCGCAGCGCTGGGCAGCGAACCTGCGCTGCCCAGCGCGAGCGCGCAAAGGTCGCAGCCGCGCGCGCGCGTGCCCCTGCGTGGGCGTGAGACGCGCAGAGAAGCACAGTCGAGTGCGATGGCGCGCGCGCTGGCGGTTCTCGCTCCGCCGTGTGGGAGCCTGGCCTCGACCCAGCGGGCCCGCCAAACTCTCGGCCTCCCATCCCAGGGCCTTCCCCGCGCCGCCACGGGGCGTCCGCGGGCGCGCGCCCCGCCGGGTCCGCGCCCGGCTCCCGGGAGGGAAATCCACGCAGTGGGGGCTGTCCGCTTCCAAGTCCGAGCGGCAGCTGAGGCGTGAGGAGAAGGAGGAGGAGGAGGCGGAAGAGACAGAGGCGGAGGAGGAGGAGGAGGCTGCGAAGGCGAGGAGGGCACACGAAGCCAGGAACAGCCCCGGGCGGCGGATCACAAGCACGGTGCCCGATGCCGTGGCCACGGAAAGCGCCACGCGCGGTTGCAACTAGGGCCCCGTTCATGCCGTCGGCGTGCTTGTGGCCGGCGTCGGCGATGATTTCGAGGCGGCGAGATAGAGCTCCCAAAAGTGGTGACAGCCACGCAGAGTCGCAGCACCTTGCCACGACGTCTCAATTTGGGTCGGCGTCGGACGTCACTCCGCTGGACCTCCCAGGAGAATGCAAAAGTGGCGGCCGTTGCGCAGTTCACGGTGCTAATGGAGGCGATATTTCATCAGGATTTGGATAAGGATACCCCACCAGCGCGCGCAAATGACGACAGTTGCCCAGTGGGCAGAACCCCGGGAGGCGAGGTCACATTCAGATCCGGGTAGCACTGCCGTCCATTGGACCCCCCCTCAGTTCACGTGCGTGTCGACAGTTGCGCTGCGGGCGCACCCAGGAAGGCGATGTCTCGGTTGGATCTAGGTAGCACCACAGTCGGTTTGACCCCCCACGAGCTCACGAAAGTGGCGACACCTGCACAGCTGGAAGCACACAGGAAAGCAACGTCCTACTTGGATCTCGGTGGGGCCGCATTCCAAAAAAAATGCGATAAGTGCGATGATTGCACAGTGGGCCGCACCCAGGGAGGCGAGGTCTCATCCAAACTTGGGTGACACCGCACTCATCTGGACCCGCAGGACCCACGACGAGCTCACACATGGCGACAGCTGTGCAGCTGGCAGCACCCAAGGAACCAAGGTCTCATTTGGATCTGGGTGGGGCCGCACCCCGATGGACTCCCCTCGAGCTCACAAGAGCGGCATGTGTTTTGCAGTTGGCAGCAGATCCCCCACGAGACAATGAAGGGTGGCGACCGCTCCGCAATGGGCAGAACACCGAGAGGCGAGGTCTCATGTGCTATATGGGTGGCACCGCGCCTCCGTGGACCTCCCAAGAGCTCGCGAAAGCGGGGGCACTTGCACAGTTGACAGCTGCTGGCAGCGCCCAAGAGAGGCGAAGTAGGTGGCAGGTAGGACGTGGGAGGCATGAGGAGGTAGGAAGCAGCCAGGAGGCAGGAAGCAGGACGGAGGATTGGAGGAGGCGGGAGAAAGGAGGGAAGGATCCAAGGAACAGCCGTGCTGTTCAAAAATCTCCACTCACCAAAAGATGCGCACAACATCCAAATATTATATTCCTCCTCTTCCGACCTCCCCACCTACCAACCTACCCCTACACGTACTTGCCCACCTACCTCCTTACATACTTGACGATCTGCCCACTCACCTGGCATCTGCCCGTTGGCCTGTTCTACCTGCCAGCCTGCCTGCGTCCCGACCTATCGATATACCTCCTCACGTACTTGCTTACCTTCTTGCTCCTTGCATACCTGCCGACATTTGCCGACCTATCCCCCCACCTGCGTGCTATCCGCTGGCCTGCCTACAAGCCTGGCTGCCGACCTGCCTGCCGAGCATCCCCTCTCTCTCTCTCGTGTGGTTGCATGCCTCCTTATCTGCGCGCCTCCCGTCTCTAGGAGGACGACGCTGGCCGCCTCGAGGTGGGCTACCCGATAGGGGGCGGCCAGCCCGAGTGCCCGAGCGACATGGCCATGTCCGGGAGCGAGGGTGAGTCTTCCGAGGCCGCCCAGGGAGGAGGAGGAGGAGGAGGAGGAGGAGAAGGAGGAGGAGGAGGAGGGAGGAGGGAGAAGGAAGGAGGAGGGAGGAGGAGGGGGGGTGAGGAGGAAGAGGAGGAAGAGGAGGAGGAGGTGGAGGCTTAGCTGCCCTGTTGCTGAAATTGGGGCCGCTTTGGGTTGAAGAGGGGAAGACTGGCTTTCGGGCCGTTGCTTAGATCTAGGTCGGGGAGCCATATCGTAGCCGAGGCTCGCCGTGGCCAGAAAAGCCCCTTCGTCCCTCATTTGTCGCTTCTCGGGGCCGCACGATGATTGTGCGCCCGTCTTCAAACGCAGCGCGATTCGACACGTGTCGGCTCGCGTTTTGGCGCACGCATCGTTCCAGGTTCGCACGTTCAGGTCAGGATCTGGCAGGATCTGGGTCCCATGTGAACGTGTGCTGGTCTGCGTGCGAAGTGCCAGGGCAGCCAAGTTGGGAGGGATTGGCCTGAGGAGGAGGACCAGAGCACACGCAGGACGCCTCAGCAATGGTGCAGTTCACCCTCCCGTCCCTGGTCTCCTCGCACCTCCCCGCGGGCACCCACCTTCGGCATGGAGCAACAACAAAAGAAACAACACCCCCCTTGAGAGACGAGCGCCCCGTGGGCCTGCCACTGAGGCGAGAGCCCCACGTTGAGCACGAGATGCCGTCCACGAGGGCGGGTCTCACAGCTCCAGGGGACGTCCAGCGAGAGGCCTGTTGTTTTTGTGCGAGGTGCCATCGGTCGGCGTGCATGGTTGTTTCGTGCTGCTGCGCACGCAGGCATGGGCTTCGGGCCTTCAGCGATGCCAGTGGAAGCGTTCGGGAAGTACGTGCGCAGCGTAAGTCGAGCGCCACACGTTGAAATCAACCCGCCAGCCATCCGTGCAGCTGCTGGCAATATGTCAGACGAGTGCGCGCGATCTCGAGCGATAGCCGCAATTCGAAAGCAGATGAACGTCTATCCGTGGAACTATTGGATTTGCTTGGCTTCAGGCCGTCTCAATCGAAGAATGAAGCCTTCCCCACTAACATGTCTGTCGGCGCGACAAGGACGAGTGAAGTACAAGGAAGGGAGGTGGAGGAGAAGGGAGGGGCAGGACGAGGAGGATGAGAAGGAGGGAGGAGGAGGAGGAGGAGGAGGAGCAGGCGTCTCCTCCCCTCAATACATGTACCCCTTCACCTCACTATGCCTCGTCCTTCTGCGCCACAACGACGAAGACACAGACGAAGCCGACGAGAAGATTACCCCCAGAGGTTTCCGGAGGTCCCGAGAGGCCCCAGGTGGCCTCCGTTTGATCCCCCCGAGGAGAGCCAAAACAAAGCCCGCAACCTCGAGCCCGCGTCATCCTGTTTCCCGCCTTCCCTCCTTTTTTCCGGTGGCGACCTCGCTGTAACAGTTGGCAGACCTCCTTGCCCTCATCCTCCTGCTGCTTCTCTTCCCCCCCGCACGGCAAGGACTCTCTTCGTGGGTCTCCCGCTAAGTTTGGGACGGCACGGAGAAGATCAGTCTGGCCCCTGTGCTGGGAAAGAGGACGGAGGGAAGGAGGCAGGAGGAGGAGGAGGGAGGAGGGGGAGGAGGAGGAGGAGGAGGAGGAGGAGGAGGAGGAGGAGGAGGAGGAGGAGGGAAGGGAGGAGGAGTAGAAGGGAAAAGGAAGAGCAGAAAGAGGAGGAGGAGGAGGAGGAGGAGGAGGAGGAGGAGAAGGAGTGGCGAGGAGGCAGAGGAGAAGGAGGAGGAGGAGGAGCGAGAAGGAGGGAGGAGGGAGGAGGGAGGAGGGCGGGCGCATGAGTGAGGAGCAGGAGGAGGAGGAGAAAAATAGGAGGAGGAGAAGAGGAGAAGAGGAGCAGGCGGACGAGGCTCGAGGAATCTGAGGATCGACGACGGCGAGCACGAGCCGAGAAGCGCCGACCCCCCCTCCTGCAGGTCAGCACTACCGCAGACGGCCACGAGCAGCACGTGGCCGGAGCGATGGCGGCCTCGCTGCGGAACG